TTCAGTATATAACGTGGATGGTGATGAGGAGTTCTTGCGATATATATAAAAACTCTGTCCCACTCACCACCTCACAGGCTTGTTTGGCACAAAGGGTAGAGGCAGGTTATAAACTCCCTGAATAAAAATTAATAACTTTGTATTTATGAGAGATAATCCCAGAAATGAAGAGTTCAGGTGTATATTGCCATCCTCTATGCCATCTCTTCTCTCAGCTGAAAGAGGCCTTACATCTTTCAACCCAGACATTTTATGGCCACTATTACAGTTTTCAGAATGCGACCTGTTTGTAGCTGTGATTGCTTACAAACATAACTGAACTGAAAACTGTTCAAAAAACTGTACTTGTCAAATTGCTCAAACATTTGGAGCCAAAACTGCAAGAAATCCACAGCATTCATCAAGTATCAGGGAACTGGAAAAACTTAAACTTACAAGTTGACAGCATTTGAATTTGGAAAGGCTGCAAAAGGTCAGGTGAAGTTAATTAAGTAAGCTTTAATGATTGCTTTTATTTCCACAGAAGAATGGAAAACCAGTCAAATCTAGTTTTTGAATAACCTATTGCTGAATGAGCCCACAGGCTAATGCTTTCATGGTGTGTGAACATGGTCTGCACACCAGTAGGCATTCTCAGATTATCCCCTGTAACTTTTAAAGAAAGAATGTTTGCAATCGCTTCTTTACTTGAGAGGTGACAGACAAGATGCAAAAAGAAGTCATATTTTTTGTTGCCAATGCACCACTCATTTATATATATCATATATTTTTGCATTTCAATGTGGCATTACTTTTTGTCCTTTTTGTTAAACCAGTTTATTTTGCTCTTCTATTATACATTTGAACAAGGTTTACTTCACATCAGCTGAAAAGCTTATTAATCATCTTTTTGCATTCAAGTGGTGCCCCTTTTAGACTCTCAGACTTAGACAAATTCTTCTCAATATTATAGTGAGATATAATAATTTTGTTACTATTAAAACCAGAAAGGTGTGGTACTATATCTGAAATTTGGGCAATATCCCCAATTAGTGTAAAGTCGAAAATCACAGAAGATTTCTTGGTTGACTTAGCTTATATTAAACTGGTTCAAACATTGAATGAGGATGCCTGCAAATTATTAGCTTGTACTTTAGAATGTAAAATACAATGTTAAGCACTGAAAATAGTTATGGGTTAAAATGGAACCCTGAACATTGCTTTGAGATTTTTTTTTACAATTTTGTTGGATTCAGTTTGTTTAATAAAAACTGAATTGCTTTGGGTTATAGACAAGCTGTTCCCGAACAATTCTTATCACATACTTATATCATTGCAGAAAGTATTAGGCCATTAAGAAAATACAATTCATTTCTATTTTACCCAAATAGCTTGCCTTTGTGACTAACACATATTCACAAGCGTCTGATTGCATAGTTGTGAGCTTTGGTGCCAACATTCTACATCAAGAAAAAGCACGTTTAGCAACAACTGGCAACATGCTGATAACGACACATCTTTATTTTAACACGTCATTCTTTCTCTGATTACAATTAAAATGTCTTTTTTAGTTTCTTTTATGCAGGTTAATGAGAGGATTGGGTAAGGTTGTGAGAAACAAGTTAGATTTTCCCTCTTTGCATCCAGTATCAGAACCCTCCTGTTTACCTGTAGCACAGCCACATGAATTCAGGCTGACTGCTGATAGTGTCCTCCTTTTTCTGGCTAAAAAGAACCCACAAGAAATGTGTCCGGGGCAGTCTCAATCTAATTCTCAAGTGGCATGGGTTCACAGCTCAAATTTGGCACAGAAGTAACAAACTCACTCAGGCCACAGGGTAACTGGTGCTATAAATGGAAAGGAAATGCCACTGTGTGCAGTGAGGGGTGTTCTGAACTTGGTACTGAGGTATATTGTTAGTGGAGGAGGCAGTGGCATAGTGGCAACATCACAGGACAAGTAATCCAGACACCCAGACTAATGTTCTGGAGACATGGCTCTGAATACCACATCATGGCATATGGCAAAATTTGAATTAAATAGAAACAAATCTGGAATAAAAAGCCAATCCACTGGTGACCATGTAATTATTGTCATTTGTCAAAATTGCCCTCTGGTTTGCTTATGTCCTTTAGAGAAGGAAATCTGCCATCAAGGCCTACATGAGACTCTGGACGCACAGCAATGCTGCAGACTCTTAGGTGCCTTCTCAGATGGCCTAGCAAGACACTCAGTTCAAGAGTAACAATTGCACTTTTCATAAATGGGGTCAAGTGGACAGCCAAACTCTGCAGCAACATGGCAATGCCCTGACTAATCAGAATAGTCCGAGAATTAAGATTGACTGCTATCTGTTTTGGCTGCATGTCAATGTCAATGATGGCCTAATCAATCAGCACCCCTCTACTCATTCTGTATAAAATGATGTCGCTTAGTTCAGCTCTGTTTCTTGCATCCTAGTTCTGCTGAGTGAAAGACGAAAAGCTTCAGCTTCTAGTTTTTGTTTGACAATATTTCAGTTCTGTACTAGCAGACATTTATTCTCATTTCAAATCAGTCAATATTTAGCAAACCAAAGCTCAATGCTAACCTAATAATGAAAAAATTCAACAAATGTAGGATGTTTAGGATTGGTGAGCAGATTTCCTCAAATTGCTTGTAAATCATTGGAGTCAAAATTCATCCCCAGGTGAACTTTGACACATGCTGTATCTATTGATTTGGTAGATGCTTTCCATGATGAGTTGACACAACACAAACTTTGTCATTATTCCTGATAATTTGGCTCTTTTGATTTAGTTCTATTATATTTTGTCCTTCAAATAGCTGTTTGGCAGTACCGAATTTGAGTATTGCTGGAAAAAAAACATTTTCTAAAGCTTTTGTCATGCATTTTTCAGGACAATTTGCAAGAAATACCAAAGTGAAGAGAAAATTAAAATTAGATAGTAGGAGAGAAAAGGGCTGATTGATTGGCAAGCGGGCTTTCTCCATGGAAACACTTCTACCAATTACAGTCTGAACACTGGAAGTAACTAGCACTCAGAAATTCTGGCTGCTGGAGATTTCCAGTTGGTCAAATCCTGGATGACACAAAGTATGATTAAAAAGTAAATACATTGAAATTCAAGTCATCAAGTACTATTTCATGTGAATTGAAGGGAGTTCAATTAAAGATTCACGTAAGATTCAATGGTGTAGGGTTACTGGCAACATAATTATTGGCTGCAGAACACTATAGGTTGTGCTAAAATTGTAAATGGTGCTGTTCAAATACAGGGATAACAAGGTGCAGAGCTGGATGAACACAGCAGGCCAAGCAGCATCAGACGTGCAGGAAGGCTGACATTTCGGGCCTAGACCCTTCTTCAGAAATGGGGGAGGGGAAGGGGGTTCTGAAATAAATAGGGAGAGAGGGGGAGGCGGATAGAAGATGGACAGAGGAGAAGATAGGTGGAGAGGAGATAGACAGCTCAAAGAGGCGGGGATGGAGCCAGTAGAGGTGAGTGTAGGTGGGGAGGTAGGGACGAGATAGGTCAGTCCAGGGAGGACGGACAGGTCAAGGGGGCGGGCTGAGG